GCCACCAATGGGCCAGCCTATACGGCCAATTCATTCACCTCCTTTTGCAAACAAATGGAGATACACCTAAACCATGGCTTACCATATAACCCTCAAGGCCAGGGTATTGTGGAACGTGCTCATCGCACCTTAAAAGAATGCCTACAAAAACAAAAAGGGGGAGTAGGCCAAGGCCGTGCCCCCAAGGAGAGAATATCATTAGCCTTATTTACCCTAAATTTTTAAAATTTGAATGTCCACGGCCGCTCAGCTGCGGACAGACATCAGAATTCTCATGGCCCCTCTAGAGGCATGGTAAAATGGAAAGATGTCCTAATAGGCTCCTGGAGAGGGCCTGATCCCGTGCTGACATGGGCACGAGGTTGTTTGTGTTTTTCCTCAGGACCAGCAAGATCCAGTGTGGGTGCCCGAGCACCTGGTGCGGAAGGTTCACCGTGAAGACCCTCCTGAGGCTCGAGATGATGATGGTGACAGCGACACCAGGGTTAGAGACTGAAGGAGCCGGAGGCATCTAGAGAACCCCTGCTTCGTGACATCTTCCTCTCGACCAAGTGGGCGGGTTTGGGTTCCTTGGCGATACTCATGGTGCTAGCCTCCTCTATCTGCCTGTGGTTTATTTGCAAGGTTAGGGTTACACAAAAACGGAATGCAGCCATGATTATCCAAGCCTTTACTGCCTTTGAGGCCGGAGAGTTCCCCCAAGCTTGGCTGGCAGCCATCAAGCCTTGAGTCATCACGTTCAGGTTGCGAGGCTAAGCACTGCACTTGAGGTGTGCTGTCAGCTGCTCGCAGCCTCAAGGGGAGCAAGTCTGATTGATGCGGGTTAGTGCCATCCTTTCCCCCAACTGATCCCAATGTTGTTCCCGCCTCAGCAAAAATCGGCACTGGACGGGTCTGACACTGCCTGGGCAGGGATGCTCAGGGAGGGTTAGTACAATGTCCGTTGTTCTTTCTGAGATCAGACCTCTACTCTCACCTGTTTCGTATAAAAACAAAAAGGGGGAACTGTGGAGAGCCGCATAGTGCTGCACCTTGCACCTTTAAGATGGCACTGGTCTCTGCCTTCCACCACCTGCTGGCGAGGACTCTTAGGAGTAAACAACTCCTTATATGGCAGTGGCAGTTGATCTGGCTTGTCTCCATGTGTGTGGACCTATCTGCTGTTGCCACGTGGCAGACGGGGGTTGGCTAGCCCTAGAGTACTTAAGCCTGGGAGAGGCTTCCCTCGAGGTCGTCAGTTAGAAGGTCATCAGTTAGAAGATTGTTCAAGGGTCCTGATTAAACTGCTTGGAGAAGAGCTCCTGCGTTGCGTCTTCCTTGCTGGTCGAGGGTGGACGCGACACAAGGGGTTTTCTCCCTTTGTGATTTCTTTATTGCTTCTACTTCCATTTTTATGTCCTGGCTGGTTTTGTTCAATTCCTTCACCTGTTTGGTTGTGTTTTCCTGTAATTCTTTAAGCAATTTTTGTGTTTCCTCTTTAAGGGCTTCTACTTGTTTACCTGTGTTCTGTATTTCTTTAAGGGAGTTATTTATGTCCTTCTTAAAGTCCTCTATCATCATCATGAGATATGATTTTAAATCAGAGTCTTGCTTTTCCAGTGTGTTTGGTTATCCAGGGCTTGCTGTGGTGGGAGAACTGGGTTCTGATGATGCCAAGTAGCCTTGGTTTCTGTTGCTCATGTTCTTGCCCTTGTCTCTTGCCATCTGGTTGTCTACGTTCTTAGCTGGTCTTGCTCTCTGACAGTGGCGTGTCCATCCTGCAAGCCTGTGTCAACACTTCTTGGATACCAGTTCTCTCTGAGAGGAATTTGAGTATGAAGTGCTGTGGCTCAGGATCAGCTCCTGGGTGCAGATGGAAACTGGAAGAATCCTGTCCCAGACTGCTCCTTGGTTTCTGAGGCCTGATGGCTGGGAAGGTATCTCTTGTGCCAGGAATTTGAGCAGAAGTGGTGGTCTTACCTGTGCTTACAGGTGTATCAGCACTCCTTGTAAAACAACTCTTTCCTAGTGGTATTTGGGTATGGAGAACTGTAACACAGGGTCAGCTTCAGGTGATGATGGAAATCCAGGTATTAATATTTTGACATGTAAGATCACAATATTTTATGTATGCAATTCAGTGAGTTTGGAGACAAGGATGTACCTGTAAAATAATTACCATCAAGCATAGACATGCCTTTCCTCTTTGTCCTTACTGTCTCACATGCATGTTCCACACTAGTGCATTTAAACCTTTGTGTTATGTCACTCACAGTTTTCCTTTTTCGGGTTGAATCTTCTTTAAAATGTATTTCTGCAAACTTTTAAATGTATATATCCACTGTTATTATGCTTTCCCCTCCTATCATAGTTCTTTGTTTGGATAATTCTTTAAAAGGACATGGACTTTTCAATATTAAGGCTATAAAAAAGATTCATTTCTGTTCTCTTCCAAAATTTATTCTCTTAACCCTTTGATCAGCTTGAAATATATCAAGGGATATTATCACCTGTAACATATAGTCCTTTTTACCAGTACTTTGAGATATGGACTTTATCACGAATCACCTTCATATTCCTAATGTATCAGCTTTCCAAATCTAAACCCCCTTTTCCATTTCATTGATTTATCTGTCTGTTCCTATACCATGACAAATTACATCAATTTCAGTGGCTTTCTAAAATTTTATCCTTTATAGAACAAATTCTTACCATACTGTCTTTTATTTAAATTTTCTGAATATATTTTACTATTTTTTATATTTACTTTTCTACCTGAAAGTATTCTCATAGCTACCATCCAGTCATTAAAACAATAAAACAATAAACAAGCAAACAAACTCATGTATATAAGACCAGAGAAATTATTCAATAGATAAGAGTACTCAATGAATAAGAGTATTTGATTTGCAAGCATGAAGACCTGAGTTCAAATACCTAGCCCCCATGTAAAAATACAGGCAGAGCTTATACATGCCAAAATTCTCAACATTACAAGACAAAAGAATGCCGATCTGCTAACTATCCTGTCTAGCTAAAACAGAAAGATTCCAGGCCAATAAGAGTTTGTCTCCAGGGCTGTGGACTGTAGTGTGGAGCAAGCAAGACACCTGATGCACTGTTGCACAGGCATCCATACCAGCATTCATATGCATGCAACATGCAACACACACACACGTATGGTTTTGTGTGTGCATGTTGTGTAAGTGTGATACATGTACAGATATCTGCAGGTATGGAGGTCAGCAGAGGCCAATGTTAAGGGTCTTTGCTCAATCAGTTTTTGAGACAAGGTTTCTCACTCTGAACCTACAGCTAATGGATTTGACAAGACAGTTAGCCATCAATACCTACACATCTTCCCATCACTGCCTAAGTGCTGGGATTACAAGAATGTGTTGCCATTTCTCTCTTTCTTAATGTGCATGTCTTAGTTACTGTTCTGCTGCTGTGAAGAGGCACTATGACCAAGGCAACATTTATAAAGCAAAACATTCAATTGTGGGCTTACGATCTCAGAGTGTTAGTTCAGTATCATCATGGTAGGAACATGGCAGCATACAAGGCACTAGAGCAGTAGCTAAGAGATATATCCTGATCCTCAGGCTGGTGGGGGACAGGGGTTGTAACTGGCATGGGCATCTGAAATCTCAAAACCCACCTGCAATGACATGCTTCCTCCAACTATTCCAAAAGGGCCACATTTCCTAATCCTTCTAATCTTTTCAAACAGTTTTTCTCTCTGGTGACTAAACATTCAAATATATGATCCTATGAGGATCACTCTTATTCAAACCACTGCAGTGATGAAAATTAAATTCAGGTCTTGGTATTTGTTTGGCAATTACTTTACTGACTGAGCTAATGCCTCAGCTCCCCCCGCCCCAACCTACTTCTAATAGAGGTCCTATGCACTTATGAAGTAACTGAGAGAGAAGAAAGTTATTAAGTTCTAAATAATTGAGAACCAGTTCCTTGTTTCCATTTGTTCAAGTCTCCTTTTAGTCTCTCAGAAGGAATTTTAAATCCTCTTCTTATAGGTATGACATATGTTTATTGTAGTAAGTGGTATTTACCTTCTTTTTTATAGCACTGTAATTATTATATTTATAACTTTCTCTTACATTACTTATCCAGTTAATATATGAGATGAAATATACTATTTGGAGAGGTTTTTTTGGTTTATTCAATTTGTCTATATTTTATTTTGAAATAATTCAGTTTATCAAAAATGTATGTAAAGAGAATAATGTTCTAAGAATATAGCCAAATGGTAGAGTGTTTGCCCAGTAAGTATGAAGTCCTGAATTTGATCTGAGTAGAAAAGAAAAATAAGCAAAGAATCCAATGCTAACATTTTGCCACAACTTTAAATCACTTTTATCTATCCTTTCTGTTTGTCCATCCACCCATGAACTCATCCACTTACCTACCTGTCTATCTGTCCATCCCTCCATCATCTGCACATATAGATGGGATGGTAGTGTGTTAACTATTATACAATATTCCTTTTATCACTAATGCTTAAGAAGTATTTTCTAACAATATAAACATCCTCTTATACAATCAAGAGTATTATTTTAAAATTTAAAAAACTGAAAACAGATGCATTCTAAAGTCCATGTTTCAATTTTGTCAACTATTACTTTTAACCAGTGTTTCTATATTATTTTATTGTAACAAATTTTAGATCAATATTATGGATTATATAGAAACAGAACTTGTTAATTAATAATTTGCCCTCTTTTTTTCCTCTACAAGTATTTTTGGTATGCACTGTCAGTCTTTTATTGTGTTAGCCATACACACAATTGTGAAACTATCCTCTAGCTGCTCTTTACAGTACAAAGTATGGAAAATACTCCCACCCTGGGAGCCATTAAGCTCAATCCCACTTATGCTACAGCATCACTGAAACTCTCAACTCATCAATAAAGCTGAGATTATATTGTATATTGCTCTTATTCAGTTCTGTTTCTATAAGCTACTTAAAGAAATGAAATATTCAAAATATGTCTCACCATTCTTTATTCTAAGTTGTCCATTTTTCCTTATCTGTTCATTCTTGAATCTGGATGAATACATATTCTTCCATTTACTGTCAATCATTAAAACAGAATCCTTGACTCTTTTAAAAATAGACCTATTAAATAACTACAATGTTTTCTACAAGCATTCATGGAGAATCACATGAAATTTTAACAAAAAATTGAAACCCCAAAGATAGTTACTGAGTTATTCTCAACTGATAAAGCAACTTACACATGGAGGTGGAACCTAAGTAAGCTGTAGATAATTCTGAGAGACAGCCCATGGCAGGCTCTTAGTTCCATTACATTAGGTGTAGCTACCTACAAATGTGGAGATTCTGAGCTTTCTACCCTTTACTCTCTGAGAAGGCATGTCACTATCCACTGTATTCACCCTGTAGGGATAAGAGGCAGGTCTTCTGCAGGGGTGTGAGGAGTAAAGGGACTTGCTGTATAATAGGGCACTGATCAAAACTACAAAATAAAAAACAGCAACACAAAAATGCGTTTTATTTAAGGGTAACTTGACATGGCCTCTAACATCCTCCAGCACCCAATTACTGATTAGAATTGTAGCATATATGGCGTAAAAGATATAATTTACTAGCATACCTGAAATTCTCAGTTGTAAGTATGCTATCTATTCGATCCTTACAGCTAAGTGCTTTTGATAAAATCCTTTCTGGCTTCTTCAATATGACATCTGTATGCACCACATCTCTGCTTGCTTTCAGCTTTTCCAGTCTAGACGATCTTCTTAGTACATGAGGTGTTTCCTGGGTAGAAGTGTTTTTCATGGAATCTGAATTTTCCTTTTTGTTTAGTTGCTCATAAGAGGTGGCATTTTCACGAGACAATGTTTGTAATCTAAATGGTTTTGGGTCTTCTATACTCTATAAAGAGATATTTCCACAATAGTTAAAAGAAAAAGTTACATTTATCTTCTCTTCTATTAAACTAAAGCAATTTATGAGCATATATGAAGACAATGAAAAAATCTATAATCATTTTTTTAAAAGAACATAGATTGTAAGCTTATAAAAACATAAGCAGCTAGTCTTGGTGACACAGCACATGGAAAACTAAGGCAAGAGATTTTTGAGTTTAAGAGCAGCTTGGGCTTTATAGGGAGATCTGGGGCAGTGGAAAGAAAGAAAAAAGGAAAGACTTTAAAATCACTTTCCTCAATATTCAACTTTAAATTTCAAAGGAAAATATAAAGTCCCTTTTGGTGCTTAATTTGGCAGGAAAGAAATCATACAGAATATGACACCCATATAAGAACATGACAAAGACCAGATTAATGGTCTGTGTGCTTCCTTGACAGAAACAATGATGTTTAAGGAACAAGGTGATACATAACTTCCATATTTTCAAAGCTCAATGGTATGTCATGAATTCTTGTAATTTCTCTAACTTCTATGAAGACACTTACATTTTACATGCACCTCATAAACTTTGAGCTCATTTATGTATCCAGAAGCAAAGCTTCTCAAACAAAGTATTGAATATTTTAATCACAGCTGAGTAAGAGTATTGATATGATTTGTTCTACATGAATTTCCTTTCTACTATTTAAAAGGTTTCTCATCTTACACTTGAAGACTTGTTAAAACCTGTGTTTACTTTACCAATATTAATCATATTTTCTACATTTTAGTCAGAGTCCTTCTTCTTATACTTGAACAAGGAAATGTTTAATCATCTTTATCTCCTTGGTAAATGTTTCTGTTTTCATTTCTTAATCCTATAGTGTCTATCTGAGAAGTGACAGCCAGACTACACTGGGATTACTCCAGGTTTACATGCTGCAACAGAAACTCATCTACTCTTAATCTCCCTGGGGTATACATGGAATATTTTGTAATAGCTAACAAGAAATAAAAGGAATCTAAATTTATATTATTATTAATTGATTAGTTATATTTATATAATACATTTATATATAATTTCATAAAAGATTTCAAAGTGCTAAATTCTTCACACTAAAAATGTGAGCAACATATATTTAAAAAATAAGTTGCACTGTATCTTGTATTATACAGTGTCATTTGAATAAAATAAAGCTACATGGAACAGAAGTCACTGAAGATGCACCAAACTGTTAACAATGTTTAAAGAGTACATCTATAGGGATTTTTGTTACCATACTGTTAAACAATCTTGCAATGCATGACATGTTCTTTTTGGTTTTGATTGATCTGAGACAGGGTGTTACTAAGGCCCCATGCTGGCCTTGAACTCCTGAACTGTTGACCCTGCTGCTTCAGCCTCTCTAATTACAAGTATGTACCACCATACTTGCCTTTAAGTAATTTTCTAATAATGAGAATACAAACTGTCAACATGAAAAGGGAACTTGGCGCCTGTCACACATCTACAAGGCCTCCAGGCACAACGCTGTAGGAATTCTAAAACCACAAGCTATGGAATTTTATTCGTATTCCAAATAGGGCTTAAAGAAGGTTTAATTCTTCCCTCCACACTTAGCAGCCCAAATTACTCCAGGTCCAATTATGGGGCTCAGTATCTACTCCATATTCAGGTAAATATAGTGGTATTCTGAACAAAGACAAATTTCTGGTAAGACATTCTTTCCTATTATACTAAAAAACTGATAGTATGCCTTCTTATGTAAGTTGGGGAGAAAATAATTTTAACTTAACTCCTTGTAAACACTACCCAATACTTCTAAAAGGAGCAATCTACATATGAAAGTTATCTTTCACCAATATATTCTAGATGTTGGTAACTGGTGAGATGGTTAAAATTTAATACACTAAAGATTATTAGAGGTCACTACAAAAATTAGTTTCAGATATTTATATTGTGTATAACCATCTGTCCTACTGACAGATGGTTGTTCCACAACATGGATAATCTGAACTATTTAACTAATAAGGCAGCAAATTCACCTGTGCTATCTGTGTACAATCTTCATCTATCTGAGACATGGTGGGCTGCACTTCTAAACATCCATTTCCACCACTAACACTGCTGCTTTTCTCTTGTCCTCGACAGAGTAGTCTCACAGCAGCACCTGGCAGTGTATTGACAGTTGCCAGCAATTTAGCTGGCATTGCAGCATCAGCCTTGTTCTCTAGTGCATCTCTATCATGTGCTGACAAGGCATTCAAAGGGACAGATACAGAACTCAAGGAGTTGCTCACTGTGTTCAACAACTCTTGAGGATTGAAGTCATTCATTTTTTCAAGCAGCCTTTCCTCTTGGGTACATTCTGGTGATTCTAGTAACTTTTCTAAAGCAGACACAAATGTTTCAAGAGAGCTTTCTTCATCTTTGGTTTCTTTAGATGTCATGGTCTGTGTTACTTCCTTTCCAGGCTCAGAAAACTTGTTTGCTAAGGTCTTCACTGGCTCTGTTAATTTCTCCTTTAATGTAACCAAATCAGATGCCGTAAGAGAAGTCCCTGAGAGAAGACTAGCTTCAGGGGAATCTGAGCTTTCACTTAGTTCCTGTGTGTTACATAAAACAAAGCAATATTTAAAATTAAAAGTTAGATTTAGAACTCATTTTGATATTAATTTATTTTTAGCAACTTTTTACTTCATCTGTATTATTTTCCTGTATGAAATTAATAATGCCTAAATGCATGGTTAAATATTTAACCAAGAGTGGTTAAATGGACCAAGAGCAATACTGGCTGGACCACAGATGACAAATAATCTCTTCAGCAAAGCTTTAATTATCTGTTCCAACAGAAGAGACAGGTGCTCTAATTAGTTAAATTAACAAATGACCTCAATATTTCACAGCTTAAGTAATGCTATAAAATTCTTGCCAAATATTTCTATCAGTCATAAAATTATAAAATTGATACTACTTCACCTTCTGAATGAATATGTAAATGTGAAATGAGAAAAGAACAGGGAATCAGAAAGGGAACTAGAAGAAATGAGGATGCAAGTGTACATAATTTTATAAATCCTGATTCTAAATTAACAAGCCAAGGTTTTGTTTTAAACAACAAAAACATAAAACACAGCTTTCCCAGGGAGTTATTTTCAAGAGCAATACCCAAACAGGTTGCATTTGCTCTTACAGAGTTTTGAATGTCCAATATTAAAATTACTTTTAAAGTTGCTATCCTAATTAGCTACTATGTTCCTCAGGAAAAAAATGTACTTTATAGGTATTGAAATTTATGGTTTTCAATTACTTTGGCTGTTCCCCCACAACATGTCTACTACCTCTCTGGCAGGATGCACTATCATCTCCTAAGACTGCTAATAATTTGTTCTAAGTTGAACAAAAGAAGTAAAAAAATTAATATATTCTATGTACCACCATTTTATCCCATGTCTATAACATACAGAGCCTAATAAGATATCTTTATTTATCTGTAATGCTAACTATAATTTTCTTTAAGATAATGCTAACTATAATTTTCTTTAAGAAATAAATCCTACTCATTGAGTCACATCTCAAGGGTTCCCTGATATTTAGTCCTTTTATATTTTTTAAATCCAAGACACTAAGGTGTACCAGGAATAATACGTAAGTGACCTTTATGGAAGGGGAGGCAATGGAGGGTTTTACTGGTTTTTCTGAAAATACTTTGGTGAGAGAAAAATTAATCAAGTTTCTTTGTACAAATTTTTTGAAACATGTAAAGATACAACGCTCTCAAAGGTATTTAGAGGGTTTTTCCCAGATGATCTATTGGGAAATATTGATACAACCAGTGAAAAATATCAGAGAAGAAGGAATTACTTTGATCAGTTTTACCAGTTACCTGCCACAGATCCAAAGGAAAGGCAGAACTTGAGGGATGAATGGATGAGTTGTGAAGAAGGGAAATAATAACAACATACATTTATTCAAACACAATTAGGTGTCAGGCCAGAAGTCATTGCTCCTGGTTCTCACAGTAACTCTTGGAAACATCTATCTGTCAGTACTTTATAGATGTGAACAAGAGCTGCCTTTGAAGCAACATCCACTCAAAATTCTATCCCTACTTCCCTGCTCTCTGGCTTGAAAGTTCAGCAAAAAAGCTTGGTAACTGGCAACAGAAGAGGCACACTGAGATGATGCAGCCAGATAAGATAGGGTGTGACTGGGAGGGCCAAAGCTACTTGGTATTGTGAAGAAGGATTTGAGTTCACTGTGGGTAGAGCCAATTCACTGCTCCAAGTGGAAAACAAAGACAAAGCAGGCCTTTGAAAAACATTAGCAACAAGACAATGGGAATGAAAGCCTGAAAATTAAAGAAATAAGGTTAACCTTAAAAAAAAAAAAAGAAGATTACGCACCATCATCTGGGCACACAAATAATCTAAACAAAGTATAAGAGACTTGTCATAGTGGGTAAGGAACACACATCAGAAAATTACCAAAATTATTAAAGATCAGGACAAATATATACATGAACAGATTTTTAGACAAAGTTTCTCCACCCAAGGAATACCTTTCATGGCACCAGAAGGCACCATACAAGGTTACAAGGCGGGGAAGGAACTGCTAATCCTACTCAGAATTGACACCTATGAACTACAACAATGACCAACATGGCACAACAGGCCCACGGCACTCATACACTGGTGGCAACCAATAGATCTCTAGTTGGACATAAGACCTGATCAACAAGAGTTCCCTGGTACTAGAAACCTAGACAAATATACAAGCTATTATGGATCTTAAACAAGACATTATACGTGACACTTCACTAAACCAGCATAATTCCTAAAATTTTAAATATTTATAAGTATAATTCTCACCTCTCATCAAAAATTTCTTTTTGCAACAAAAGGAGAAAAATTACAGAAAAACAAAACTGATTAAAATATGGAGAACAAGAGATTGTGTATATACCCAGTTCCAATCAATAGATCCACATGCTAACAGCTACACTTAAGGCTCAGGGATCACTGCAGAAGAGAGGGAAGAAAGATTATAAAGGGAGAGATCAGGAAGTTTCCTGTGAGATTGTGTCTCCTAGGAATGTAAGAGAGGCTACACCCAGAAAGTCTCGCCGAGAAAAAGATCTGAGCAATGATGATGGCACTGAGCATGTTAACATGGAAGGAGATAGTTTGTGGGTTCTTAACGCTAAACAAGGAACTACAGACAACTGGGAAATGCAAGAGTGGAAGAAATGGTCTTCCCCAGGGAGGCAGCTCTGAGGTCATACACATTCTGGTAACATTACACAAACCGAGCAATAGAAACACACACAGGGACTCATACATACATATGACTTTGAACTTCTGACCCTTCTGAGTATTGGGGATTATAGGCCTGCATATATGCAAGGTAAAAACAATTTTTTAAAAGGCCATAAATTTGAGAGAGAGCAAGTAGAGTGCATGGGAGGGGTTGGAGGCAGGAAAGGATAGGAGAAATGATGTAACCATATTATAGTTTCAAATATATTATAGCCAAGTGGTGGGATTGCATGCCTTTACTCCCAGCACTCTGGGGCTAGAGGCAAGCGGCTCTTCTTTAGGTCAAAGCCAGTCTGGTCTACAGAGCAAAGTCCAGGACAGCCAGGGCTATAAAGAAAGACCCTGTATCAACATGCCTCCCATCCAAAACTTACAAAAAACAATAGGTTTCTAACTATTAATGTGATTTAGTCCTAGAAGAGAGTCTAAATCCACTTGAAACTTTAATCAACATGTTTTTTAAAAATCTAAATTCACAATCTACAAAGCCAATCTTGGTTACATAAACCAACCTTTTCTGAGTGTGACAAATTTTCACAATTTTCAGCTTCAGGCCCTAGAACAGAACAATATGTATTTATTCAACATTTATTAAACCACAAAGTATACTCTCTTTAATCAGCACTTTCTAGCAATAAAACTTGAGCTTTCTTAAATACTTCAACAGATATATCAAGCATGTTATAAATATACCAATTTGCTGATATAAATTTGTTATTTAGAAAATAATAAAACTTTCCACTTCTTGGGCTAGGGATATAGCAAAGCTGGTAGGCTGCTTGCCCTGGATTCTATGCCTGGTACTCCATGAATCCTTAACCTGGGAGCAGTGGTGCAGCCCAGGCCTATAACCCAGCACTGAGGAGAGGGGTCTCAAGTTTAAAGTTATCCTAGGCTACACAATGAGATCAAGATTAACCAGGGTTCTATCAGACACTTTGGTTCTTCATTTCAAAGAGGAAGGGGAAGGGTGGGAAATTATGTGGTATTGGAACAGGGCCCATGGATGAATGGAATTGGAGTTGTGCAAAGAAATTCTGAGTGCTTGTGAGAAAACTCCAAGAAAACAAAACAAGAGTCTTATGAACTTCAAGGGAGTCTTGTTTCTTCAAAAACATGAACACAGAATTGTTCTTGGAACCTGCTTTCTAGTTCCTCCCAAGTGTAGTGGATGGGAATCAGTTTAGTTTCGATCACTCATTTCAACTGGCTATTGATATTTGTTTATATTCCTCTATGGAAAGACATGTTTTGCCATATGAAGCTTGTTCTTGTGATTATACATAGCTTGAACTCATGCGAACTTTACTCATGTGACCTTTCTTAATCCTCAAGATATAAACTATCTGATACTCTGAATAAAGTTGGCTACTGCATGAAACTTTAGTCTGCCTCATTTTCATGCTTCTCTCTCCCAGGTCTAACAGCCAATTAGAGTGATAAACAATGTGAATCCAATCAGAATTGTAACTATTTGAAATTAGTTTAGCTAAAGCCAAACCTCTCTATTTCTGTTGGATTATTCTAAATATTTATAACTATAGAGGGAGGATTTATAACTAGTTTCTTAGAGTTACTATCTCCTCTATGGTAGGTAATAGAGCTTAAATGAATTCTAGCTATCTAGAGTTAAATGTGAATACCTCATGTGGGGGCAAGAGGAATTAGGGGATCATCTAGGCTCTACTATGGGTAGAATTCACATTTCACTGATGCTTCAACTAGTCTCTTTCTCTTGGTTTCTTCTGATTACAGATAAAATCTGCATAGCTAACAAAAAAGGGAAGTAATTATCTGCTGAATCTCAGAATACATCCTTGCAGGTGACACAGGTTTACAGGGAAGAAACTAAAAATAAATATACCTGCTGAACTTCACACCATCCAAAAATCTTAAGGCTGACCCCTAGCCCTACTTCCCCACCTCTTGGGAGAGGTATAATGCAGGAAGTGGCTGCCTCAGTTGTTTTGATCTTCAGTGTTTTGCTTCATGACATTTGATAATGAAAGTACAAAACTAAAAGAGATAAAATCTGGCTGATATTATAAAAGACCTACTACACTGAATTCTCAACATTTACATGTGTCTGTAACTCCATTCCTAGTGTATTGACACCGTCATCTGGCCATTCCGGGCACTAGGCACACAAGTGGTACAGACATAAATACAAGCAAAACACCCACACACAATAAATAAATAAATAAATACTTTAAGAGAAGATTAAAATGACATTCTACTCTTTCACAGGATGACCAGTGGAAGTCAGCCAGTATTTTATATTTTTTCCTTTTAGAATCAAAATCTAATTTTATTGTACTTTTAGAATCTTTCATGTCAAACAGCAATGACAAGTTCTATAACCTATACCTTAAGTCATTAAAAATATTAATATTGGGCGGGACAGATGGCTCAGTGATTAACAACACTGCTATTCTTTAAGAGAACCTAAGTGTCGGCTCCTACATAGTGACTCACGGACATCTGTAACTCCAGTCCCAGGGAATCTGACTCTATCTCCTGGCTTCCACAGGCACTGCATGCATGTGGTGAACATGCAGACAAACATGAAGGCAAACACCCATACACGTAAAGTAAAATAAAAAAATGTTAATACTAATGATTGGAACATCTTTATCTATGAAGGGAGGGTATATTTTTCTTTGCTTAATTAAATGGTCAGATTCTTGAAAGAATTTTAAAAAATCTTTAAATTCTTTTGTATAATAAAGAAAACTTCATAAATAAAAAGTAATAAAGAAAAAAAAGACAAAAATTTAAAAGGATGCCTTTCCCCATGTTGTCTTCAACAATTTGATCACAAAGAAAATTGACATTTACTAATACCAGCTGCCATTTAAAAGCTTGGTAAATTAATAAAAGTATCTTATAGTAATATTATTTTCTAATTGAAAAATAAATACTTCAAAGAAACAATACGGTTAGAGGGGCTGGGCAAAGGCTCTTTTGGTAAAATACTTGTTACATAAACATAAGGACCAGAGTTCAATCCCCAGCATCCACCTAGAAGCTGGTTGCAGACAGGAGGATTTCTGGGGCTTGCTTGTTAGATAATCTAGACAAGCTCACAAGCAACGAGTGACCCGGTCTCAACGTGTGGTGAGCAGTTACTGACAGATACCTGATCTCTACCTCTACCCTCACACATATACACATATCTAACACATGGAAACTCGAAAATTACTGCTTCTTCAACATTTAAACATTGATTACAAACTGAAATTTCTTTAGACAATGAAAACTACAAGTTTAATAGGACTAAATTTTTTACAAGATCAAACCTTGCTTTAACTTGGGGTAGGGGCATGCATATTCATATGGGTACATGTGAGTCCACATGTCTTTGAAAACAAGATTTGACAGAGAGTATCAATCCTTAGGAGCTATCCACCTTGTCTTATGAGACCAGGAACTAACTAACTGGGCAAGACTGGTTAGCCAGTGAGCCCCAAAGACCAACCTATAGCCACCCCCTCAGCACTGGAATGTGGCGCATGTGCAAATCCAGCTTTGTTTGTCTTCTATGTGTATGAGTGTTTTGCATGGATGTATGTCTGTATACCATGTACATCCCTGGAGTTTGTAGAGGCCAGAAGAGGTATTAGATCCTCCTGTAACTAGAGTTACAGATGGTTGTGAGCCACCATGTGGATATTGTGAATTGAACCTGAGTACTCTGGAAGAGCAGCAACTCTGGAAGAGCACTGACATACTTCTCCCAAACTTAGCTTTTTTACTGGGCTTTTGGGATCAAACTCAGGTCACCATACTTACACAGCAACATACACTTTGCCCACTGAGCCCAACAGCAAATGTCTTATAAAACAGTATACCCAACTACAATGGTTACATAATTTATCAGTTCTGTTTAACAAATTCTGAAGCAATAATGTTAGTATGAGTCACTATTATTTATTTCTGTTTATTTACTGGAACATGTTAATTGTAAGTAATATTTATTTAAAACCCTTTGAACAAGAGAGCACAAAAAAAACTGAAGAAGGAAATTCCTGTCTCTCCCAGTACCACAGCCAAGGCCAAGAATCTAAAAGTCAAGAAAGTAGCATTAAAAGGCATCCTCAGAGCACACCCAACCTCCACCAAATCCACCCAGCATTGACCTTCTAGTGGCACTAGATACTGTGGTTAGAATGTAAGTTTTACAGCTCTGAGGGGAAAGGTATCCTGGCAATCAGGAGACAAGGAATACCACAAAATCATGCTGTACAACAAACCTCACATAAAAGATTTACTGGGAAAGACACAAAAGGGAGACTGGCTGCCTCTGCTTGTGAGCTCAGGCTCTTTGACAACACCACTGTTTGCTTCATCATCACCAACACCACTAAACTAGTCAGAACTGGAGACATCATCACCTTCATCAACAGCCAAATCCATAGCAACAGCATCAATGAATGGAGCAATCATTATACCGACAACTACAATAACAAATAAACCAAGAGTAAAATATGATATTGGTAATTACACTACCTTAGATGGATTCCTACCAGAATACTGGATCCATAAACACTTCATTCAAAACTATACATATACCACAAATGCATTCTATGTTCAATATTCTCACTGTAAAGCTATTAGCAATACAGTTTGGCATAGTTGTTGTGATGGATGGAGAACGGTAACACCCATTTTACACCAATTCTGCAAGCCGTAGTCATCAATGACCAGGAGAAAGCTGAAAACACCAATTTTAAGAAAAGAAGCCTACTGAAATGTCATTTAACACAGAAATATCACGAAAGCATTAGCCATATACAACTTCCACTGGAGAAAATTATCTCTTACATCATCCTTGCACTTTACAATGAAGAACAAGGAGAGAATAAGATTTGAGATGACAGATATAGAAGACTCCATGTTTGACTATGAAATAGCAGCAAACAAAAATTCCTTTCAGCATTCTTCACCCCATACATAAGGCAGATGAACCCTATGTTTGGCTTTAAGTACAATAAAACTACTCAGAGCACAAATGAAAATGCTTACGATTATGCAGATTAGGATCAGAATGAGGAGCCAGGTTACTTGACTGAGGCAATGTCAACACCAATCACAACAAACCTGTATGAACCCATGATTTTGCAGAACTATACCTTTGACCTGTAAGAATGTAATTTGAATATAGGAATGTAACTTCAGGTCTTAGTTTAAACTTAAAATTAAAAGCTCTTTAAGTTTGAGTCAAATATTAGCTGCCCCCGAGGCATTTCCTGGGGAAGAGCACATTCCAAAGGCTCAAGCAAACATTCAGAGGAAAGGGCCCAAGCTAAGGAAGATAAGCTCTTAAAACAATACACCTGGTTAAACAGAAGCCACTTAGATGAATTCCCCTGGGTTATAAAGATAAAGGTGTAAATTTGAGTTACTTAGGAACCGAGCCTGGGAACAGAAACTAAGCTTAAGGGCAAAGATTTGAAATCTTTTCTAATATTGTCCAAGAAGCAATTAACTGTCTTTGTGAACTCTGTATATAAACCACCCTTCACCCCAATTCGGGGTTCCCTCTCCTGTGAGCAGAGGGGCCCTGGTGCACCAGCACTATCAATTCTTCAATAAATCTCATGCAAATTGCATCAAATCCTGTCCATGAGTATCTCTGGGGGGCCGTGTCCCGTGGGTTTGGATCTTTAGCATCCAACAGACCAAGACAATGATAGAATAACACCATGCAAACATTTTTCTCTCTTGGAATATTATGCCACCACCATATGGATTCAAATGCCCAAATTCACTTTTTGGACTATACCAACAACTGAACAAGGGTAAACATGACCATATTGTTGTTTGGCTGAGTCTCCCAATCTACTCTACTATGGTAGATTGGATATATGGAATAGCTAGCTACCTGGTATGGAAGGCAGAAAATTGTTGGGATAATCCAGCCCCCATACATTATAAGGTATTCCCCTATATTCTCAATTGTTAATTGATGGGCTTCCAGGAAATGTAAAAGCTGATCTGTTTCCTCACCAGCCCAAAATAAAAGGGGAGCTGCTCTGGGGAAGGTCTTGTAGTCCCTAATGCCCTCTGGATGAGTAAGGAGTTTGGCTTTTTGCATATGAAAGAATTGGCAGCTGGAGCTGGGGCAGAAGGACCAGCAAAAGACTAGGCAGGGCAGAGGCAGAGAGAAAGGAGGTAGAACAATGAGAACCATGTGGAGACACAGTGGCAGAAGTTGGGTTAAGTTAGAAGACTTAGACAATACTCGGAGACTGCCCCAGCAAACAGGCCAACAGCCTTATGTTATACAGATGTCTCCATGTCTTTATTATTAAACCTCACGCATGTTCCCAAAAGACCCACAATAGAAAATGATTCATTTCAACCTATGACAACTGGCTGTACACTGATTTACTGGAGACACAACATTGCAGATTTCCATTGATCATAACCAACTCAATGCCACAACTCTTTGCATCTTACAATAATGAAGTCCCATCACCCGAGGAGACACTAGACACTGTACCTGCATGATACTCTACAGAACTCAGATTATACAGCCAGTCATATTTTGTACAGACACAGCTTATATACTACCATAATTTTTGATGCAAAAGGGCTCAATCCCCATCACAGAATCTCTGGGATGGGTACTAACCAACAACAAACTGGATTAACATACTGACTAATGTCACCTCTTGCATATGGGACAACTTCTCAATGCTTCCTGCCATGATGCTAATGGACTGAACCTCTGAAACTATAGTCAGACCTAATTAAATGTTTTCTTTTATAAGAGTTGACTTGGTCATGGTGTCTCTTCACAGCAATAAAATCCTAAGACAGAAGTTAATTATGAAATTTACTGGACTCTTAGTTGTTCTTTTCATTAATAAAAAAAGAAATACCTGGCCCTGATCATGACTCACATGCTCCTACTGATCAAGATGATGTTCTAGTATGACTGGCTTAGCTCAGGGTTCTACAGCTCCAAACCTGCTCTGCCCTCTTTTGCTCTGCAATATTTTGTTTGAAAGCAATTGTATCACTTCTTATTTCAGAATGTGTTTTTCAACTTGGTGCATACCAAACATAAAGAAACTATGAACTTGGGAAAAATATGTATATGCCATTGGGATCACAACAATATCCTGTGATCTCTATTGCTTTGATCATTTTTGCTTAATAACTGTATGTTTTAGTGTCTGAGATTTATTTTCCTGCATTTGTTTATGAATGTTTGGAATATTTATTGTATGATTTCTCCTTTACCTATTATAGCCAGAATTTGCAAATTGCTGTGAAATTGTTAATAATTCTTATATGTGGTCCTCATTGGTACTGTGTATGCCTCAGGGACCAGGGAATGTAATGAGCATAATAAAAAATGTAAAAATAACTTAGGAACCCCACTATATAGCGTGATAACTAGAACCCAGTGACATCACTTACTCAAAATAACCAGACACAGTCCTTAACCCCATGATACCCTTTGGACGATATATAAGCAGAGACCAAAAGGAATGGTCTGCTCTGTATATCAGGAAAGACACCACCTTAATCTGCAGCCAATGAGTCGTTTTCTGGTTTTACGTACAACAGTTTAAGCTTCAATAGGATTTTTTTTGTAACTTTACATTTTTTCCCAGAATATCATCTATTAAGTTGTACTTGGTCAGTGTTAGAAAAATTTCTCGTTATTATGTATTGACTTAAGAATATTAGTGTAAAGTCACCCCTTTGATTAGCACATGATAATACAGGTCCTTTAAAACTTTTACTTCTAATAATAGAAGAATCTAGACTGTGGCAAAGTCTCCTTAATTGGCTTTCAATTATCTGTTACCTTGAGACATTAAGTTTCATTTCTTACATGATTTCATGTGTCCCACTGGTGATATGTAAGTGATCGTTCCCTTTCTTGACATAATTCTTACTTTCTCCAAGTGTACCTGACTTACTCAGTTCTCTTCTTTTTCTACTTACAGTGAAAAACATACTGCACTTTATGAACATACTTATTAAATAAAGAAAGTGAGCTGGAGTGTAGTTCAATGCCTGGTCAGTATATATGAGGCTCTGAATTCAATCCCTAAGTATTAAAAGATGAAAAAGAAAACAGCACATGCATTAATAGGTCTCCACTTTAACAGAAACTTTAAAGTGCCTTATTATAATCACTCTTGTTTTCAAATTACATTAATGTAATTTGTATATTTAATGTTTTTAAGTATTATTATGAACTCCAGAAAATATACTTCCATGCACTAAAATTTACTGTTTTTTCCCTGCATTTTAAGTTGTCATAGCATAGCTAATAGAAGCAAGAACAGATGAAGATTTTATTCTTTCAGCACTACCCACAAACATCTTGAAAAGGTCCTTGCTTTCAGCAATGGCATCCTTCAGATGTGGCTTGTTATCTTCATGCTTTAAGACAGATAAGTGATCCTGTATTTAGAATTCATACAGCATTCAATAAATCTTTATTAAAAACATGAAAAAATAACATAGATTAAAAACTAGGTACTAGAAATGCATGTTTGGGTAGTAGTAGCAAAAATAGTAATATAGTAATATAAAATAGAAGTTTATAAATGTTGACAATATTTTATATCATGTCTTTGTACCCAGTTCTTATAATACAAGGTATCATTTGTTGGAGATTTGATTTGTGCTTACATGGGAATTAGCAAGTCCTCTGCAGGTCCCTGACAACAGCTGGATTTTTGATGGGTCAATAAAAAGCCAGTGGCCAATGGCTGGGCAGAGTGAAAGAGGTGGGACTTTTAGGATTCCTGGGCAAGAAATGCAGGGGAGGAGAAGAAGGGATTTGGCCATGAGAGGGGAGTAGGACAGACCAGAAGGAAATAGGGCAGCAAAGATAAAATATAGATTTAGAAAGTGTTCACTCAGGAATATCGGAGGGGAGTGTGTGCTAGCCAAGGGGAGGTTTGGAAGTGTCCAACCACTGAGCTAGTTAGGCATATTAAAATATAAAGCTCATGGGCAGGTGTAGCACAGAGCAGCTTAACAATTCACTACTACAATCACTCACCACTATGCATATTTACTCCATTGTGAAACAGTAGGCAAAATATCACTAGCAAGATAACTCAATATCAAAAGGGAAAAATGGCTAAATGGGTCTATGTGAGGCATAGATAAATTTAAATAAAGTCATGAAGAGACAAAGCAATTATTATTTTCAAATATAATTCCTCAAAATCAAAAGTAAAGAGTATACATTTATAACAATAGATATAGGCTGCAACTGCCCTGTTTCTCCAATGGGCAGTCTACACACAATTAAAGGTGAGCAAAAACTTGATTGCAAACTTAAATACAAGCCTAACTGTAAATAAATCCATATTTAATGTGGTCTTCTACTCTTTTTTTCTTATTTATTTATTCATTCATTCATTCATTTATTTATTTTTACTTATTCACTTTACATCCTGTTTACTGCCCCCTCGCGGTCACTCCCTCCCACAATCCTTCCCTCCTTCCCCTTCTCCTCTGAGAGCATGGGCCCTACCTGGGTAACAGGCCCCACACTTGGCCCATCAAGTCTCTGCAAGGCTAGGCACATCCTCTCCCACTAAAGCCAGACAAGGAAGTCCAGCTAGAAGAACATAATCCACACACAGGCAATAACTTTTGGGGTAGCCCTCCTCCTCCTACCAGTTGTCTGGGGAACCACATGAAGGACACATCTTCTACTCTTAAAGATTCTCTTATGTATTGATGTTCATGAAAGCTTACCTCCAATGTTTTGGCGACTCCATGAAACTTCAGGGTAAGGAAATGACACAGTGAATGCTGGGAATTCTTTTCTAGTTCTAAAAAATAAATTGATTAATTAACAAAAGCAGACTTCTAAATGAAAAGAAAACAATTTTTGTTACATCATTCTAATGACTGCCTACCAAATAAGGGTGGCAAACTTAGAGAAAATGGTTCTATCTTCAAATGATGGTGTGGCATTAGTTTTGACATTAGTGGATATCATGTGAGAAATTTCTCAGCCATTACTTCCTACTTTTGTATTTCATAGCAAATATAAAGTGGGAGTAAAAATATTGAAAGAGGATTAAAACTAAATAAACATCATGTCTCATCTGTAATTTTGACCCTCTATTTTAGGGTAATTAAAAACTGACTGAAAAAAAAGCAATCAGCCTGCCATATTATTTCTTCAAGGAATTTATTGCATAAATACAAAGGTCATTTTCCTGTTTAAAATAAAAAAAAATTCCTCTTGCTTCCAGTGTTTTAACAATAGTTTTTAATGTGTTAGGTATTGTTATTTAAATCCTATACAAGAATAAAAAATAGAGCATTTTCTCCTGTCCAAAAGTAGCTACTAGAAGTTAGGTTGAAAATGTTGATTCTTTCAAACAGAATGATAATTTCTGTGAAACCAACAGGAAATAATGCCATACTTGAGAAGAATAAATAACTGTAAACAAGATAAATCCACAGGTTTTAATCAACAAACAAACTACCTTCTCTAATTTCAAGAATTGTATTGAGAGCATTAAGACATAGTCTGAATAAACAAAGGCCTCTTTTAAATATTAAAAATAGTTAAGATAAGCAAGATCACAAACAAGATAAATGTCCATTTTGATGAGTAATTCAACAAATTATAAGTTATACAATAAAATATTATATCCTTCAAAGCACTTTAATTGTATAACATGGTATATAATTTTGTGTACATTGTTTAAAACAATCCAAATAAACAGACACCATTTTATTTGCAAAATAAAAAAAAGTTATGCTGTCCTTCCGGTCTGGGCCCAGCACTGAGCAGATCCTGGGCAGCTGCTTTGCACCCAATCTCACAAAACCTAGGGGAAGTGGGTCTCCCAGGAGCTCTTATCCAGGCAGTATCTTAGGTAAGGAGACAGCAACACCCTCCCCAAAACAGGGAGTAACTGGAACACACTAGGACCCAGGAATTCACTCCTGGCCCAGAGCTCTGGTTCCTTCAGGTCTGGACCAGAACACTGAGCAGATCTTGGGCCCCAGGTCTAATCCCAGTAGTAACACTCACCCCACACAGTTCTGAAACAACCAAGATAATAGGAAAGACAGGCTCCAGTAAGAGACAGGTCAGGTAGCACTAAGGAGATCCAGATGGTGAAAGGCAAGCTCAAGAACATAAGCATCAGCAACCCAGGGTACTTGGCATCATTAGAACCTAGTTCTCCCACACTAGAAAGTCCTGAATTCCCCATATCACCAGGAAAGCAAGATTCGGATTTAAAATCATTTCTAAAGATGATGATAGAGGACTTTAAGAAAGATATGAATAACACTCTCAAAGAATTTGAGGAGAACACAGGTAAACAGGTAGAAGCCTTTGAAGAGGAAACACAAAAATCCCTTAAAGAATTACAAGAGAATACAACCAAACAGGTGAAGGAATTGAAAAATCCATCGAGGACATAAAAATGGAAGTAGAAACAATAAAGAAATCACAAAGGGAGACTACTCTGGAGATAGAAAACCTAGGAAAAAAATCAGGAGTCATAGATGCAAGCATCACCAACAGAATACAGGAGATAGAAGAGAGAATCTCAGGTCCAGAAGATACCATAGAAAATATTGACACAACTGTCAAAGAAAACACAAAATGCAAAAAAGTTCTTAACACAAAACATCCAGGAAATCCAGGACACAATGAGAAGACCAAACCTAAGTAAGGATAATAGGTATAGAGGAGAGTGAAGATTCCCAACTTAAAGGGCCAATAAATATCTTCAACAAAGTTATAGAAGAAAACTTCCCTAACCTAAAGAATGAGAAGCCAATTAACATACAAGAAGCCTACGGAACACCAAATAGACTAGACCAGAAAAGAAATACCTTCTGTCACATAATAATCAAAACACCAAATGGACAAAACAAAGAAAGAATATTAAGAGCAGTAAGAGAAAAAGGCCAGTAACATAAAAGGCAGACCTATAAGAATTACACCAGACTCTCACCTGAGACTATAAAAGCGAGGAGATCCTGGACTGACATCATACAGACCCTAAGAGAACACAAATGCTAGCCCAGGCTACTATACCTAGCAAAACTCTCAATTACCATAGAGGGAGAAACCAAAATATTCTACAACAAAACCAAATTTACACAATATTTTTCCACAGACCCAGCATTACAAAGGATATTAGCAGGAAAACTCCAATACAAGGAGGGAAATTATACCCTAGACAGAGCAAGAAAGTAATCGTCTTCCAACAAAGCCAAAAGTAGATAGCCACACAAAAACAATTCCACCTTTAATAACAGAAGTAACAGGAAGCAACAATCACTGTTTCTTAATAACTCTTAACACCAATGGATTCAATTCCCCAATAAAAAGACATAGGCTAACGGACTAGATACATAAACAGGACCCAGCATTTTGCTGCATACAGGAAACCCACCTCAGTGACAAAGACAGACACTACCTTAGAGTAAAAGGCTGGAAAACAATTTTTCAAGCAAATGGTCCTAAGAAACAAGCTGGAATAGCCATTCTAAAACCTCTAGCCCGAGAACACAAAGGGAGGGACTCATGGCTCCCCTTGTATAGGTAGTTGAGGGTGGCTTTGTCAGGCATCAGTGGAAGTGGAAGGCCTTGGTACCCAATAGTTTGGATTCCCTAGTGTTGGGTAATTTGAGAGCAGGGAGACGGGAATGAGAGGATGGTGGAAGCATACCCTCATAGAAACTTCTAGAATTATATGGATTAGATATTACAGAGACAGGCCAACAGAAAACTAGATTCCAGAATTCAAACAAAAAATATCTTGATACTAAAATTTGTTTTGAGAATTGTATATTGCAGAATACACAGCCTTGGTGTATCGCTACTCATCAAGTAAGCTGAGCAGACCTGTTCGAACCTCTGATGTCCTGGAATCTCAGCTGAATGCCGTGAAGACACAGACGTCAGAGGCTTATCAATTTACTTTTCCCCCACCCCTCTTCTAATATCTCAACGCCCATAAGCAGCTTGAAGAAGTTAATGAAGAGTCAGCCCCTATTCCCTGGGCTTGGGGGCTGAAGTGGTTAATATTGGGCTGTCTTTCTAGGGAAAAGTAGTGGTTTTGTTGGAACAGGGAGGAATAGCTAGGATTTATTGCATAGCCATAATGTATTGGTAGAAATCTGTATAATTGTTATTAAGCTGAAGTTATAATTTCTTAAATGGTACAAAATTTACTTTGATTTCAAATTTAAGGTTTTCATTGATATGAGTTTCTTATTGATATAGAAGTGAGATTAATATTGTTACTCTCACAGGCATTGTGCCTATATAACACATTTAGGAATACAAGGCTTAGGCCCAGTCCTTCTTTAACTTTTTTAACTGATTTGAGATGGTTAGCCTGTGAGTTAAGGGCCTATAACAAATTCATGGCTCTGAGTTTATTGTTAGGGTGTTTTCTACATTTTATTTAGAAATAGCTGAGAGGAGTTAACAGACAACAGTCCAGATTGCCTTACATGGATAGTTGGTTTTCAAAATGTCAGAAGCCCACAGAATTGATGTTACAAACATTAAGGTTCATTTCAATTAGAGACCCATCTGCTCCTGACAGCTTCCTATCTTGGATTCTAAGAAGAAATTGAGCATCTTTGGAGTTACTCCAGTTGTGGTGAGACAGCCACTAGGCAAGAATTGCCTCTTTTCATCTACAGACAAATTACTGTCCAGAAAAGGACACACTTGCAGAATAGTTGACTGATTATATCTGCCAAGACAGAGTAAACAGCTCTTAATAATTCTGCATCACTAGGTCTGTCAGATGATCCTGGGCCAGAAGGCTGAAGATCAGATGCTCCAACATTTTGTAGTGTAGGGACTGTCCAGGTGTTCAGTGGTCTTTATAAATTGGCTAAGTTTTAGAAGCTATGCTTTGTGCTTCCTATAAATTCAGTTAATTCAGTCATTCTGGATTTCTGACAGGGTTGAAGACTTATAGTCTCATAGCCAATCCCGGCTATTTACTTTGAGAGAAAAGACTTGAGAGGATGGTTTTCAGCTGACATTCATTCTAAAGCCAAGAAAAAAGCCTAATTGTTATTAGCTGAACTAATAACAATTCAGAACTAAGTCTTTTAGCTAGGAGAGATGACAGAGGTTCTGGTTAGTCAACAAAATGATGTATTAGGTCTATCTTGTACCTTACTGATACAAATTGGTATAGTCATGCTCTAACTGTATTTTGAGAGAAAAGTTTTATCTTAACAGGAAGGGTGATATGTAGGAGGAGCTATGGTGGGAGGAGTAAGGAGAGGAAGAGGAGTAAGGAGAGGAGGAGGAGCTAGGAGATGATTGGGGGGAGAGTCGAACATGGAGGCAGATGTTCAAGTGTCTCTACCAGTCAAAGATAGTTGGTATATCTAGGTTGGGTATTGGGTTACACTTCTGATTATATGGGCATCTTGTTATTCTGCTATGTTTATAGCAGTCTTATTTATAATAGCTAGAAACTGGAAAGAACCCAGATGTCCTTCAACAGAGGAATGAATACAGAAAATATGGTAAGTACATTTACACAATACAAAACTACTTAGCTATTAAAAGCAATGAATTCATGAAATTCTTAGGCAAATGGATTGAACTGGAAAATATCATCCTGAGTGAGGTAACCCAAACACAAAAGAACAGACATGGTATGCACTCACTGACAAGTGGAGATTTGCCCAGAAGCCCACAATACCTAAGATACAACGCACAGAACACATGAAGCTCAAGAAGAAGAAGGAAGACCAAAGTGTGAGTGCTTTGGTCCTTCTTAGAAGGAGTATCAAAATACTCAACCAGAGCTCCCAG